CTGACGCTTTTCCACGAGTGTGCGTCATATTTGTGAATCAATGCATTCTTTTTAAATACTAACCAGATAAGTAATTCTGATAAGATAATTTCTTCAAAAAATCCTTCCTCGCATTTTCAATGTGAGAGTTCGTGTTACTTAGGATGGCCGGATAAATGCAGCAGGGTTCAAGAAGAGAAAGGACCAAATGAAGATACAATTTTTAGTAAACTGGAGGAGGCAGAAGGACGTCGCAAATAATCAGAGAACCTAGATTTTGTTACTATACTTGAAAAGAAGGCGACATTAGAGCTTCGGGTCCATTTCCTTTAAAAAAAAACGACTGCTACGATCCAAACCGCGAGGTAAAGTTGGCCACAAATCACAAAGAAAGTGTGAAGAAAATGAGCTAAATCGCAAATTTTAAAGGTTGCCATGTTCAATGCTCCTTATAATTTCAATAAGACCCAACATTATTTTTCTTACGGTTTATTTTGTTATTTCTTCAAATGTTGACCTAACCTGTTCTTTGTTTTAGTTGGCTCAGTGTGGGCGGCACAGCGATCGCAAATTTAATTTGAATATCTTCTGTCGACAGGTAGGTGCTCCCTTCGCCAGTAACCTTTGCCTAGGTACTGCTATGGCTCGCACCAAGCAAACTGCAAGAAAATCAACCGGAGGGAAGGCTCCTCGTAAACAGTTGGCTACGAAGGCCGCGCGTAAATCGGCGCCGTCTACCGGTGGAGTTAAAAAGCCCCATCGCTACAGGCCCGGTACAGTCGCCTTGCGAGAAATTCGTCGATACCAGAAGTCGACCGAGCTCCTGATCAGAAAGCTTCCTTTCCAACGCCTTGTCCGTGAGATTGCACAGGACTTCAAAACCGATCTTCGTTTCCAGAGCGCTGCTGTGGGTGCCCTACAGGAGGCTTCAGAAGCTTATCTAGTCGGTCTTTTCGAGGATACTAACTTGTGCGCAATTCATGCCAAGCGGGTGACTATTATGCCGAAGGACATCCAGCTGGCCCGCAGAATTCGTGGCGAGAGGGCGTAAATTGTGCAGTTGTTTTTTTTATGCATAGGACATCTTTTTCCAAGACATTTTGTTCTATTTACTCTAATCATCTGATGTTGTAAGCTCTCGTAAATTATACGCATTTATCAGATTTTTAATGGTTGCTTTTTGACGCGTGATAATGGTTCGCGTTTGCCTGAGTTACCGGTCATACTTCATGTGCGCCAGTTGAAATCGTTAGTTCTGCCTCTGGATTTAGTGCCAGTTGAAGTCCTCGGTTGGTTGTTGTAAGCCCGTTCGGGTGATTCTGGGCATGGCCGTTCTGATAAAACTTAGGACCCGAGGTTACCGTCCATGAAACGAGTGTTGCCCTTAACTTCCCCTTTATGCTCGTTTTACCTTTCTGACTGCCGTATGCAGTCTTTCCGCATTTATCATAGGCTGCGCGGATGTGCATACTTTTGTATGTTCCGCCAGTCCTCGTAGGTTCTGTGCTG